AGAAGCGCTAAAATGGACTACACTAATAGCGAAGAATACTTACCCACGTCAAAAAAAAGGGCACCGAACTGGACGACTCCAGTGACGATAAAAAAGCACCCAAATGGACGACCCAAGCGAAGAAAACACCAGAATGGTGGCATCAACGACGAAAGAAGCATAAATGGACGACTCCAACGGCAAGAACTATAAACAAAAGTACCTAAAATAAGCAAACGAAATGCAAAAAACAACCATAAACTTGCCTGAACCGAAATGCAATTAACGAAAAAAAAACCAATCTGGACGACGAAGAGAATTCACCAGAATGGACGATACCAACGACGAAGAGAATTCACCATAATTGACGACACCAACGATGAAGAGAAACACCAGAATGGACGACACCAACGAACAACACTCATTACCTAAAAGAGATAGTTAGTGCATGAACATAAAGCTGAAAAAAAATACTTAGCCCAAAGCCGATTTCGTCCCCAGTGAGTTATTTCACTCATTGCCAACCACTCTACCGAAGCCAGCCAAAAGCCAAAAAACCCGAAGCTAGAAAATACGAAACTGGAAAGCCTGAAGTCAGAAAAACCCGAAGCTAAAAAACCCGAAGCCAGAAATTTAAAATCCAGAAAACCCGAAGTCGAAAACACGAAGCCAGCAAGCCTGAAGCTAGAAAACCCGAAGCTAGAGGCAAAAAGTCTGAAGTCGGAAACTTGAAACCAGAAGACACGAAGCTGGAAAACCTGAAGTTAGAAACACGAAGCCAGAAAACCCAAAACTGAGGCTAGAAACTTGAAGCTATAATTTAAAATAAAAATAATTAAAAATGTTATAAATAAAAACTAAAAAAATAAATAAAATAAGTAAAATTTTATATTACACAACCGGTAATTATCACCGCGGTGATTCTAAGTTATTTTCTAAAAAAAAATAATAAAAATAAATAAAGGCTTAAAAAAAATACTTAACAGGCTAACCGCAAATCTCGTAAATGCTGCAATAACGATTGAAAGAAAATTCTAATTCGTAACAAGACCAACTCTCACCTCGACCTAGGCCTATTATATTAGGATGTAAAACTTTTAAATTGTAACTATAAAATTTATAAAAAAAAAAATGAGTAATGTTTCAGATAGTTAAATGGATTAGAATGGCTAGATACAAACACATCCGTAACAGATCCCATATCCAGAATCTGAACCTTTATCAAAAAAGTTAGGATGATAATTTATATCTACTTAGGCTACTTGAAGCAGTGCAACCTCACTCCTCCGCAAAGCGGAAGGCGAAAAGCCTGGCAAAAAGCTACCACGGCCATGTTGCAGAAGGATACAGATCTCACGATCAGATCCAACTCTTTTTTCTTTTCAAAAGAGGAAAAGAGGCCCAAGTAGCTACCACACTAACCTATTCCTATTGGCGCTTTTGTCCATAGAAAATTAACTA